TCGAATTCCATTAAGGCAGCCAGATAGCAGTGATTCAATCAGTGACTGCGACTGTTCACGCATCACCAACATGGTGACATGCCTCGCAGCATTGGCGGCGACGATTGGATGAGTGCACGGCCCAAAGAGCCCGGGACGGAGACGGAGACGGAGTACCGTCCGGCAGGGCAAGGGAGCCAGGAGACAGAGAGGAGACTGAGAGGAGACGGCGACCTGCGTTGGCCCCGACAACAGGCAAAGCAGCAGTGACAACCGGGAGCACTCAGAGAAAATTTGATATAAATTGTATGCATATTTGTGGATATTTATAATATAACCAAGATCTTCTAGGTATATTTAACACATTTTTGGGTAAATCAAAGTTTTTTAAATACCATAACTAAGTGAAAAATTCATTAATTGAAAAAATTAAATTTTGCTCGGACATGGCTAGATCGATTCGGATGTTCATGCTGATCAATAATGTATAGGATCTATAGGGTCGAACTGAAACTATAATACCCTTAAAGAGAATAATAATGTTTCAAAAAGTGGCGTCAAAGTTAGGGTCTGGTACCCCATCGTAAGGGTAAGAAATCAATATTCTTAATACAAATTGCTGTAATTAAAATTAAATAATTAAAATTAAATAATTAAAATTAAATAAATATATACATGGCTAGCACAGCTGATTTCTATAGAAAAACCTAGACCTGATTCCTCCTATGGCATCTTTATATTAATGATATAATTGTCATAATAAAAACTTACTATTATTGTTTTTCGTCATTGCTTAGTTCCTTCCAGACTAGAGTTATATTCTTGGTGACTTCAATTAGCCTATTTGTGATATCATCGAAGTGAGCTTCTTCCTGGTTGGCTTCTTCCCTTGATCAGGTAGTAATTTTGGGGTCGAAGGGTAATCACTATCACTTCACTACCGCAATAGGTGTTAACAGCGCGGAGGCCGCGGACGGAATGAGGGCGGCGGGACGGTACTGCCCGTATTTATAGTCTCCCAGTAATGAGTAGATCAGAGAAAGTGAGAGCGAGAGCGTCAGAGAGAAAGAGATACCTCTAGAGGAAGGCAGCCATAGGTAGAGAGAAAGAGAGCTCTAGATATACCCGGATACATTTAACGATCGCTTCTATAAGATATAGTCGTACGATTTTATTAAAATAAAAGATATAAGTGTTTCTCTCAGTGCAATGATGACGGCGATGACGACGACGACAGCGACAGAGCAATTGGTTTTTTGGGGAGACAACAAAGAAAGCGAACGACGACGATTGGGTGGAGTTGGGGGCACTGGGGGGCAAGGGAAGGGCGGCCAAGGGAGTGCCAATGTCAAGGGGTGGTGGTTGGAAAATTCAGAGAGGGGAAGTGGGAGTGGGAGCTGGCGGTTTTTCTGGGTGGGCGGAGGTTTACACGAGGCTGCCAAAGACGTGCGTGGCTGAGATTTGTTTTGCTCTCATCCGCGCACTTCCTGCCCTTTGCTAACTTTTTTTTGTGCTCTCCCTGCTAATGTCCTGTCTTTGTGTGTGTGTTTGTCTGTGTGTGTAAGTCCTTCTGTGTGTTTTACAACCACAACCTGTGGGACAGAGGCAGAGGCAGAGCCAGAGAGGCAGCGGCATAAAAAAGAGAAAGGAGCAAAAGGCCGGGGCAAATCGTTGCCTTTTTTATGTGACCATTTCCATTGCGAATGCGACTTTCTCTGCCACTGCCACTGCGTTCGTGTTCATTAACGTTGCTATTACATTTTAACACACCGAATCGGAATGTGTCCTGGCAACGTCCTTGCCCCACCCTCCGCCTCGGAGGCAGCCCTCGTTAGCTTTTACTTTCAGTTCTGTTTTGTTTGCTGTTGCTTCTGCCGCTGCTGCGAATGTTGAAATATCCTGTTTAACTTTATTTCATTTTTCCACAGCATCCTACACGTGGCCACCCACCATTACCAGCGCCGAGCGGCAAGTCCTTCCGGTGGGTGTGTGCCTGTGTGTGCCTGTGCTGTGCCTGTGTTGTGCCTGCGTGTGTGTTGTTTAGTTGGCATGCATAAATTTTTACGTTTGTTGTTGTCTTATCAGATCATTTATTTGCGCAGAGAGGAAGCACCCCTCCCTCCTGCACAACACACAACGCACAACGCATTACTTGTGTTATTTGCATGTTGTAGAAAAATATCAATTTGCGTACTGGTCGGTCGTTTAACATTTTCCGCTATTTACCAGGCCCTTTGTCCTTTTCATACCCTACGAAACAGTCATTTCCGACCATATAAGGTAAATATATTCAGACTCTTTTGGTTTATAAACTGTTTTAAATTGAATGAAACTTTACAGATAGTCTTCTATATGTACTGTATTATTCTAGAATTTCTGTTTTAAATTAATGGAAATAGAAATGATCTTTAAATATAGAGTAAAATGCTAAACTTTAAATGTGAAACTATTAATGTATCGTTAAAAGCAAATTTTTATGATTTTTATAAATGTTATATGTAAGTCCAGCGAGTTTTCCTTATCATTTGAGTTTGATTAAAAATTGGATTACTGGATTGCAAGGGTATACAAATTTCGGTGTGCCAAAGTTAGCTTCCTTTCTTGTTTCCTATTGCGCCCCGCCTTAATTTGCCGGAGACGCACCAAACACACACACACACACTTTGGAATATTACGAGATATGCGAGTGTATCTCGAAATGTTGTGCAAATGTTTTCCTTTCTCTCTTTTTTCCCCCTCTCATACCTGGTAATCGTAGATTTCAAGGGTATATTGGGTTCGGGGAAATTTTAATATGAATAATGGGATGGAGATGCTCAACCTCACAAAATGAGGCATCGTGTTAAGTGCCCTGCAGTCTACCTGACTGTCTGCAATCCATAAATAGTTCTTTATAAGATTTTCGAAAAAGATGAGGAAGAAATAGACTTTAAGCTTTGGTATCAATATAAAAAAACATTACTTTAAAATGTGGCAAATAAATTAAATGATAACATACAGGATTACTTTAGTAATTAATCTAACTTTGCTAACCAAATCACGAATACTGGTCATCGACTAGTCTTTTCTCTGCCTACGAAAACCATTTATTTTGGCCATTTGAATATGAATTTATATCAATGTGTCTGGGGCCACGCTCCGTATACGCAATTTATATAATTCGTGGCGCTATTTGCATAACTATATTGTGTCCAGCAGTTCAGCATTTTCGCCTCGCGTGATAATGTAAATTTTTCCAAGGGCCACTTCGTTTCCATTTGAGTCAGAATTTATCACTTTGCTGTATAGTCTTAGCCATTAGCCAAAGCCGGAGCTGAAGCTGAAGCTAAAGTCGGGGAAGCAGAAGCAGATGATGAAGTCCAAGCAAATAAGGTGAATGCAGTCCGAGGACTTATGCCCACGAGTCACGTAACTTCCTGTCCGCGCCGCAGTCGCCTTGGTTACTCTGTTGGCACTCCGGGTGGGAGGCGGTGTACTCCGGTTAGTTTGGATGGTGTGGATCCGGAGCACTAAGCCGACTTCGAGTTATGAGCCACCAAGTGGAGAGAAGACACTTCGCTGTGGATTCATAAATTTAATGCTTAGCAGCAGCTCCCAGCTCCCAGCTCTCGGCTACCTCCTCCGCTGACGCTGCCCACCAATAACTTTGCTGATAATATCTGGGAATCACCCAGCGTCCCCCTTAAAGCTATTGCTTTCTCTTTCGATAGTGCACGATGAGAAAATGTCACAAGAAGAGATTGTAAAATATTTAAGAGAAGTGTTCCATTTCTGTAGAAACCTTTTAATTGTAGCCCGATTTAAGAAACTTAAATTGTAGTTTTGAGCGCGGTAACTATAATTTTTGCTATAAAACCATGAGCCTTGACTTGAAATCATTCAAAAATCGGGCACACAACTTCACCTTCCTCCATGAAAATCTCAGCAAACTAATTAAGTGTACACATAGTTTGTGACACTGATTTGCGTTCGGTAATTGGAATTTCTCTCGGTGTGGTCTTGTCGTTAGCACATTTCATGTTGCATACTTTTATGTGTTACAGATTTTTCGGCGCGAACGCGGCTCTAATGAGCACCAGGAGCAGGAGCAGGAGCAGGAGCAGTGGCAATGCCAGGCAACAACTATAACCACATCATCAACTTTTGCCCAACTATGTGTCGTATACGTAATATGTGTGAATAGCAGAGCAGGGCAGAGCTGCTACTGGGGTGTGCATGTGTGTGTAAAAGTTGTGGCAGTGGCCAAAGCACTCACCCACATTTGCGCACACAATTTTTTATGGTTGGTTAACTAAATTTACTTTACTGCCGAACCAAACTGGCAACGAAGGCAGGAGGCATCCTCGTGGTGGAGAAGGACTACAGCCGGGGAAGCTAGGCAATATACATAGTCCCGTTCTCAATATTGAAAACTGATCAACCTGATTGAATTGCCAGCCAGTGAAATAGAAACTAATGATTCGCTCGGGTCTGGATCTAAACCCTTACGTATGTAAAATAATACTCACTGCTTGGTTAAGCTCCCTGGGCTCCTTGGCAGTCAATATAAACCGGCGGAGGTTGCGTATACGCAGTGCTGATTGGACGGGCTTGGCCCGAGATTACGAATACATAAATTCATTAATAATGCTCTCGCACATAATGCTGCCCGGGTCCCAGACGAGCTTTAAACTGCGATATTTCCATACTCTCTCACTCGGGTCGGACTACTTTTGGGTGGGAGACGAGCTCAGGAGGCTCAGATCAGGTACAGTGGTTACTCTCCTAATGAGCTCGAAAGGGTTTAAGGAAATCATTTCATTTACTACTTCATTTGTATGTTTGGAACCTTTAGAACCTCAGATCTGAAGGTAGATCGATTGGTAACTCCTTATATCACTTGAATATTTATTTATGTTATTTATAAATATATTATTTTAATATTAATAAAAGAAATATGTGTCCTATAGTTGTCTAAGTTGTTTAAGTTCAAACAAACTCACAAGCAACTAGTAATAATTTCCCTGATTGACTCTTTTCAGCTTTGTCTTAGACCGGGTCACAGCCTCATCCATCCCGGCTATTGAATACTGTAAGTAAGCCATGATTTCACTGTACAAGATACTTATTTATTTATTTGCGAATGATTGTGTGTGCGTTTCTGTGTGTGTGTGTGTGTGCAGCACCCACATAAGCTGCCGAGTATTTACTGAGGATATTTAGCAAACATTTACTGTCACCAAATATGGCCAAGGAAGTGAAGTCCGGGGCAAGGACAAAGATTGCGATGACACTGAGATGGCAGGGGCTCTCTGGGCGATTCTCTCGCCTATCAGCCGCCTCAGTCGTCCTTATCGATATTTGCGAAATAATAAAAAAAAGTGGCAGGCCGCCGCACACAAAACACAGAGTGGCGATAAGGAAAAGACTCAGTTGTCATGCTGGTGCCGGTTCCCCCATATATATACGAACATGAATATGTACAGATGTATATGCCCCATTCCCCGAAGCTCAACAGCTCAATCTGCCACGATTTCGAATGGAACTGGTACCCTCTGAGGTCCCAGATGGGACCCTATTTTCGGGGGCTGGTCCTGGGGCTGGGGAGGAGAGTCATGAAAAATTACACAGGGCATTTTGTGTTCGCCGCCTGTCGCTCCTTCTTCGGCTCTTGAGATATTCCAATTTTTGAAGTGTCAAAAATATCCGCTTATGTATAGAAGTACATACAGACATTTATTATATGGCCAGGCCATATACACATGAATATGTAAGCAGATAATGGCAGCTTTTGGCTGAAGTCCTTCACAGAGAGAGAAAACCAATAGCAAGGGGTTCGATTTTGAAAGGATTCTATCTCAGCAGACCTTAAGCTTGATGCCATTAAATATCCCTTACTATATACATATTTCTTTGATTTAGCCGTAGTATTTTCTTGCTGTGTTCTCTCTGGAGTTGGAGCTAAAAACAAGAAGACAGGCTGGCTGGCTGGCAACAAAGAAAAAATTGATAATTCCTTGGCGCAAAACTTTCTGAGCAAAATATAAAGAAAAGAGGACTAAGAAAAAGGGGCGAAGCGAAAAGAAAGTTCAAATCAACATATTGATTTTTGTGGCAGCGAAAAAAGGGGCGTGTGGCCACCCACGACAACGACAACGACCACAGCTACCACGAGATACAGATACAGATACAGATACGAGTACACAAAGCCGTTTGCTGACGTGTGTATCTTGTATCTTTCGCTGCTGCAGTCGCTCCAGCTCCTGCTCCTGCTCCTGCTCCTGCTCCTGCTCCTGCTCCTGCTCCTGCTCCAGGAGTTGTAAATGCTCGCCGGTCTCGGTTTCGGTCTCTCATGTTTGCCAACATGGTGGACAGGGCCTTTGCTTGTTCACAACTTTTATTTATTTATGGTTTTTGATATTTATTTATTTCCCTCCGCATTTATTTTTGCCAGAGATTTTTGCCTAGATATGGCTGTGTGCTTTCCTGAAACTGGCTCTTAATGGGCTTTTGCATACACACTTTCAAGTGCTAAAATTCGCTGCTTGACTTGGTTTTCCGGCATTTTTAAATTTTTGAATACAGAATACAGAACTTCAACAACGGAACCTGTGTACATTTTGCATGTTGTTTGAGGGTCTTTATTGGGTTTTAACCAAATGTAAGCGTCTACTTATATCCTGACATATATTTGTTTAAATTAACTAGATAGTTATTCTATGTATCTATTTGTAATTATTAATCTGTCTTTTAATGACAAAATTGGTGGGTTTCTTTCGTTTCGTTAAATATTTATTCCATTCTATTTGTTTATGGTTTTAGCTTTTCCTTTATTTCCTTGATTTTCTATTTTTGAAGGGCCAGGAATTTCTCTGGAGCTTTCTCTAATTGGGTTTATGGGGAAATTCATATGCTAAACTGGTGGAGGGATTTTATTAAATTTGGCCAAATTAAATGCAGTTAGATAAAACTTGGCTATATTGTCTTCGTAATGACTTGTTATCCTCTTATTTTCCCCCTAAACTGTTTCGTGATAGAGCAATTTCCCAGACTGACTTGGATTTTTCGGGGTTTATTAAATTTGGTTAAATCTTTCTGGCCCCAGACCTGACCTACATCAAAATCGGTTCACTTTTCAGAATGCTGGAAATTTGTTAACCCTTTCGGGTTTGATTTGCTTCTCTCTCTGAACTTTTGCCAACTGTATAAAGTTTCAATTTGTTTGTCCTTTTTTATGCCCGCTTGCCAGTTGCTGTTTCGCCTCTGTTTTGCTTTGGTTTGTTTCCCCTTGTTTTGGGCGCATCCTTGCACATGCCACAGGACACTCCTCTACACCACGTCCCCTGAAATGGCAATTTAACAATGAAAAATTAAAAGAAAATTCAAAGTTTTTTCCGGTGCAAAGCGAGAGAGGCTTATATATCCAGCAGTATCGCTGCGGATCGGGTCTACCTAAGTAATTACAGTTGAATGGTGACTACAAACAAAAGGGCGGCGGCCAAGTGCCGGGGAAAAGCGTGGAAAATAAATGGTGTGTGCAAAAGAGATAGAAACGTTTTGCTGCTTTTCCGTTTTATATTTTTTGGTGTGTTTTGTTATGTGCCGGAAAAGGGTTTTCCTGCAAATATTTAACAGCGAACCCCATTTGTCATTTGAATTTTCGCTTCTTTTTATATATATATTTTTTTTTTCTCGCTGCTGGTAGGTCAATTTTTTCGTCCTTTTTTTTGTTCGGACACCGATGTGATGTTTAATTAATTAGAGTTCTTTTTGAGTATTACATCTCACTCGATAGTTTCGATTTGTTTGGATAATTGAAGTTATGAGGGCCATTTAGCAACTGATTGCATAACAGTGTTAAAATAAATTACTTAATTGCTTTGGTTCAGACTTTGGGCAAATATGAATTATGTTAGAAACATATAAATAAATATTTTATTGACACGAGTGTTTGATAGGGGACTAAATATAATATATGACATTTTCACAAAGCTTGCAATATATTTTCTACTAAATAGGTAATGATATTTTGATCCTTCACTTGATATACGACTTATGCTAACTTTCCAGCTTTGTCGAATCAAACAAATGTTTAATGCAGTGCCATATGTTTTCTATGTTGTTTAACAAGCTAGCTCACTTATGTTTCTGTCTCACCTGAATGCTGATGATTTATTAATTAGGGGCTCCGATAGTTTGATTCCCTGGCTAAATCAATTTATGAGTGGAATTTCAAAGCATTTCGGATGACAGTGCGCATTCGCATGCCCCAATAAGTAGGCAACATAAATAATTTTGCACTTTGCCAGCGAGCACGCACACTCGTACACTCGCGTACAAGCTCTCTCTTTTAAAATATCATTAGCATACACACACACACACACATCTGAGACCTGACCTCCCTTAGAAGCAGCACCCCCACCGCACCCCTGCCCATCCTGGGCCGCCTTTTGAGAAGATTTAAAGCATTTTTCATGTTGCCTTTTGCCACTTTGCTTTCGCTTATGTCAACCGGTTGTATGGCCAGCAAATACATACATAAATCCACCCGAGGGCTTTTCCCGCAGTAGTAACATGGAAATTTGCTCGCTTTCCCGCCGCTTTTCCGCTTAAACCGTTGCACGCATCTTTTATGTGTGTTTCGTGTTGCTGCTGCTGCAAAATTTACAACGGAACCAAAAAGTTATGAAACTCATTAAAACACGAAACTAATTCAAACACCCCGGGTCTAATTGCCAACTCCAAGCCTAAGCCAAAAAAGAAGTGCCCGGAATCCAACGTTTTGTTGTGTGAGGAAGGCGGGTGGGTTCTACGTCGTCTTCGGTCTGCTGCCTGAACGATTCGCTGGCGAATCCAAAAAATTATTTAGCGCTAATTTCCATAGAAAAATGTGCGCGTCAACAGAAATTAAGTGTCCCAGCTAATTTAACACAGCGCTGGGTCAGCGCTCTCGCTTTCTCCACTCCTTGCTGTTGCTGTCTCCTTTCGTCCGCCTCACTCTCTTTGTCTCTCATTTGTTTATGCACTGCGAGAAAAGCTAAGAAAATGTATTAAACAAAGTCACATTGTTTATGAAATAATATTCCTATTATTTTTATAATATTATATATTTTATTAAATTTGGAAGTGTCTATTGAGAACTTACATAAATGAATGCAAAGCTTAGTAAAACACTAAATTGTATTAAATAGCTAACCATAAAGTATAGCTTATAGTATAGAATAACATTTTTAGGGCTTAAGAAACACATGAACGTATGACCCTCCCAATATATAATATTTATATAAGGCACCACAAATTGTTCCCAGTGCATTCGTCTGGTGCTCTTTTGGTCCTGAAACGCACCGCAGCTGGTGGGCCACAGATGCCTGCGACGCGTTAGAATACTTACAATTTTAATTTGAATAATTTTGCAGGCTCTAAACGTAAATTACCCCAGCATTATTTTTTTTCGGCGATGGCGATGGCGATGGCGATGGCTGTGCCTTGGCTTATTATTTTTTGCGCACATTACTTTTCGCCTGCTGACACTCCATCGCCGTGGCAGTTGCTATAGCTTATTTTTTGTGCATAAGCATTTTGAAAGATTAAACTTGGCGCACTTGAATGTTATTACACGTACCGCCACGACCAGCCAAACCAACACTTTCATTTATTATTATTTTTTATGCTCAGCTCGAAGCTGGAAACCTAAAAAAGCGGAGCCCTAACCCCGGCCCAATTGTCGCCTCGGTCCGCCCCCGTCGCTGCCATCAGCAAGCCATACAGAAAAATCACACATCGTTAGCTCAGCAGTTTTTTCCCTTTTCGGTGTTTCCTTTACTTTTCCTCCTTTTCCCGTTTTTCCCTTTCCATTTTCTTTTTTTTTATCCAGCACGCGTCGGTGCCCTTGTCCCAGTGAGAGGCAGCAGCAGCAGCAGCAACTCGGTCCCATAACGCGGCATTTATTTTGCGCTCCTCCTGTAGAATTCTTTTTCCATAAAAATTGCTTTGCTGGCTCCTCAGTCACTCAGCCCGACCCTAGGAAGTCCTTGCTCTGAACCAGAAGCTGATGCTGCTGCCGCTGATGATGCCTTGGCTATATGGAAGTCC